ATACATTTATTTTGTGTCAGTAAGTAAAGTGTATTTCTTACTGTGTTTTATAGTTAAGAAAAAGTTTGAAGGTCATGTAATTAAATAAGCATTTTAGTCATACTTTATGCCTATTGGATGGTGACTAATATAGTTTTGAAATGATAGCCCTCAAAAAAAAAAAAGGACTTCATTGAAAGGGCTAATTTAAATTTAAGACTACTAGTATATTCAGAACCTGTAACAGGTTTTTATTACCTTCACTGAAATTGATTTTAAATGTTAGGCTCAGAAGTTTTTCCAGAACATAATAATGTTATACCAGTTGACAAATAGGAACCAGGTGTGTATGTAACAGCATTGTAGTTTAGATTAGATCATCTTCTTTTCCTCAGGCATGTAGTTTAACCTACACCACCACACATACACAAGCTTGCCAGTGACTGACAAAGAACTAAATATTTTGGAATGCAAAATGTTCAAAAGTTCATAGTCTGCATGAAAGTGTTAAGGTACAAAAGAAGTAAGAATCCAAGCTTGAGTTGTATGTAAGCTAGCAATATTGTTTCCTACTTGTCCAGTGTCTTTCGTAATACTTCCATGATTCGGATGCAGTAGTCACTTGAGAAACATTGACTTGATCTATAAAAGTACATAAAAGGTGAGTTCTTATTTTTCAGAATTGGGAATTTGTACTTTTTTAAGTTTATATTTTAATTCACTGTATTTTTACATCTAATAGATTTTTTCATGCTTGAAACCTTCTGTAGTATATAATCAGTAAGTGATTAGATACTTTCAAAACCTTTGTGTATTTAATGGTGTACATTATAAATACATTCTTGTGCTTATGTAGGTGACCTAATTTGCTATGTAATTAGATACCAGATTAGGTAAATTTAGTTCATTTGAAAAAAGTTTATGTATAAAGTATTACTATTTTACCAAGTATAGTCAGATTTTTTCACAAATTCTGTCTTGAAGTTAGTGAACCATTGTATGCTGGAAGTACAGCAGTTTTCCAACTTTAGTTGAATTGTATACAAGTAGAGAATGACTAATTCATTAGAATTTAAGCAGTGATTTGCTAGATCAGGCCTCTTGTTCATTAAACCCAGTTTGCTGACTGGTGGTGGCCCTGGAGAATAGGAATGTCTGCCTCATGGGGTATGAATTTCAGGAGGTGGAGATGTTTCCTAAATGGAGCATTTTGAGCCTTCAATGTCTTTATTCCTTTTAGTGATAGAATTAATAACTTACATTGTTACCATCCAACAAAACAGGTCTCCTCATGTGACTTCCCTGTGTGAAAGTGTTTGGGCTCTCTGCTACCCCTCCATTAAATGTTTGGCTTTTTGACAGGGCTTACAGTCCATTACAACCTTGTGCTAACTACTTCTCCAGCTTAATTTTGTAATACCTTTCCTCATGTTCCCAGTAGTCAAGTCACACTAAAGTTTGGGAGTTCATACTGTTCTTTGGGCATAATACTTCTGTGCTTTGTACAGACTGCTCCTTTTATCTGAAATGCTTTTCCACTCTTTTACCCCTGCAAAATATTTCTTCACCCTTTAAGAATAGATGTCATCTCCGTTGTGAACCTTTCTTGAGCCTCTAAATAGCAGCCTGTTGATGATTTTATTATATCATTCATCATGTTCATTTTAATTGTTAAAATATGTGCCTTTTACTACTGTTTTTAGATTTCCTTAAGGACAGGGGCCAAGTTTTATTAATCTTTGTTTTATTGCACTTAAACAATACCTGGCACAGTTCCTAGGCCCTCAAAAATGTCAATGAGTGAATAGTGAGTGGGTGGATTGGTCAGTTTGTCTTACTTTGCACATTTTCTTATGATTTGAAGGATTCACAAGATATTGTTCTTTCCTCCTACCAGATTTGAATTTCCTACAACAGTCACTGAACAAAGGTGGACACATGGCCTGCCAAAGGCTGCCATTAAAAACTACACATATTGCTTAAGGAGAAGAGGACTCCACTCTCCTTGAAACATTAAACTCCAGAAAGACTTTATAAAGTTGTGAACATAAGCAGTACTATAAGTAGTATTATATTATTTCTTTCCAGTAATTAAAAAATTAATAATAGATCTGAAGCCCTATGATAGGAATGTTTTTTCTCAAAAAGTATGGGAATTTATGGCATATAAAGAATCAAGCAGTGGAGTGTAGAGGAAATATTAGGAAGGTCATCTGTTTTGTCACTGGAAAAATTAGCTTGGATGCAAAGCACTGGTAAATAAACAGGTATCAGTAAAAAGTGTTCAGAATTAAATCAGATGGTAAGATCCAGAGCAGAAGGCATGGAGAGGTCTGGATCAATGGAAACCGGAAGAGACCAATACATTTTCACTGATAACAATCTTGAGGTAGAATATGTATTTGGTTATAGTGGAATTGTATTTTATGCAGGAATAAAGCATAATGTTTGTTCCTCAAGGAAAATCGTATGCAGTCAATGCCCCTTGAATATTTTTAGGAAGGAGCCAAGTTGGAGAGGGAAGAAAATGTGTAAAAGCTCCCAGAGAACTTGGCTTCCTGGAGGAAGAGCAAGTAGTTCACTATGTTCAGGACTCTACAGTGGCCAGAAAGAAAGTTGGGTGGGTTAATGGAAGCCTGGTCAGAAAGAGCTTTGAAAAAGAGTGTGGATTGATGCAGAAAAGAAGCTTTTAAAAGATTTGTAAGCTAGAAAGTGATATAATCAGATTTGCATTATTAAAAGATGCTTATAATGTTAGTGTATTTTACAGATCATTATGACCTCAGTGTAGAGATTAAAATTGGAGTTCTGGAGACTAGTATTTAAGAGGTCGTTGACATAACCTAGTATAGAGCTGATGATAATGAATATTACCCTGGGCAATAGCAGTGGGAATGGAGAGAATTCCAAAAGCAAGAAAATAGGAAGTTCTTACATGTTAACCTGACTGGGATTAGGTTAAATAAAATTAAAATAAATAATCAGGTTGAAACAATCAGTTTGAATTAAAAAAAAGAAAGTTCTTCCATGGAGCTTTATTTCCTGTGGAGCATTTATGTATCCTCTGGTAAAACATGGATGAAGATAGTGTTTGGCTTAGACAAACTATGCTTAGTTCTGAGTAAATCAGACTACGGCAGAGATGATTGGTTGAATATATCTTTAGTTTTCTCATATAATGCATCTGCTTACAAAAAATAAGTCTTGAATGAACCACATCTTTTATTTGAGAAATAAGTCAAAGTTTCCGTTTGTAACATAACTAGTCTATTTTTGCAGCATTTCCTCTGGCAAGTGTATTTATTTCCCCTAAATCAGCATTTTCTAAATGTTTACTCTTTTCAGTTCTTTGCAGAAGTTGTAAATAGTAGATTGGTAGCTTTGGCATGATCCTCACTGCATTGCTAGCCTTTGCAGGAAGCACTTGTACTCTGTTGTCATTGAAATAAACATTGATATGGAAAGGGGCCTTCTTTGAAGACAAAAGAAGAAAAATTCTATAGAGTCCCATTGGTCAAAAATTAAATACTCATGTTACTGTATGTAGTTCAGAACACTTAAGTCCATATAGAGGCTAATAATTTTTTCATTTATCATAAGTTTCTTCTTTCTCACTCTTAAAATATGCTGATTTTGAAAGTCTTTGTAATGATACCTAAATATATTAATATTACAATTAGCAGTAATAAATAATATAATCCCTTACTCAAAAAATAATTGAGTTACACACTATTGGCTGATACTCTAAGCCACGTTTTCTATAAAAAACAGTAACTTTATTTCACAGAACCATTGAAATTAAAAGGCTTTATTATATTTTCTTTCACAGTAGTGTTTTCTAGCTGTGCTAAAATTTTTCCTTTTGCTGTTTTCTTATAGCTTGTTAAAATAATGCCACTTTCATGCTTTCCTTAATTCTGTGTACACACACATCCTGTTTATTTTTATATACCCTGATGTTGGTAAGAAATTATTGGATCAAAAAAATTTTTTTTTACTTTTGTTAAATATGTCCATGGAGGCAGGCATTTTACTCAGGAAAGGAAAAACATTTAGTTGATGTTCTGATGACATACTCAGTATCCTAGTAGTAGTTTATAACTTAATATTAGACATTCTTGACCTCTGGTACTCCATACTGAACAAATAATTTCCCTATATTCTACTCACAGCATCATTCCCTTTATATATATCAGGTAATATATGTATAAGCTTTTTATTAGTGAATTGCTTTTGTCTATGAAAACAGCATTAATGTAGTAAAGGGAAGGGTTCATAACTGATAATGAGATTTGTTCAGAAACTATAAATAATGTTTTGAAGAAGCGTGGTACAAGTAAGCTGTAAATAGAAAAGTTGGGATCATTTGAAGGTCATTAAGGACATAGGAAATTTCTTTTGGTCAAAATAAAAAGGTAAAAAGACACAAACTTACCTTTCCAAATGAATATTTAAGTAATTTTAGCTTCTGTTGTATCCTGTCTTGGAGAGTACTCACCATCTGCATTTGGGTATTTGGGGTCGGGGATAGAATGGGTTGCCTTGAAGGAAGCAGACAACCTCATGTGACAGTAAAATGGCAGGCGTCATTGACTACTTGTAATAATTATGTTTTTATAATGCTTTGTTTTTAAAAGTATCCTATATTCTCAATTATAATGTAGGTTGGTCACGGGGATAGTAGGACAGCATGGAAAATACAGCTAATGATTCTGTATCATCTTCCTATGTTGACAGATAGTAGCTGTAGTAGTGGTGGTGAGGATGGTAAGGATTTAATAATAGAGAACTGTTGAGCCACTGTGTTATAAATTTGAAACTAATATAAGACTATATCAGTTTTTTAAAAAGTATCTTTTTATTAAGAATGTACAATAGGTGTCAATAAAATTTTAAATGGGTATCATTTTACCAATTAGGCAACAGAGTCTGAGAGAAGTAAAAACAATTGTCCCGAGTCCTACAGTGACTTGAACCCAGTTATAATTAACTACATAGTACAGTTTCCTGTATCACAAGATAACATCAGTGAATTTACTTAAAGAGTACTGAATCTCTTAGGACTGTGTAGAAAGGATTCTTGCTTTGTATAGGAAGGATAAACTGGTTGACTCACAAGTGCTAAGATCTGTTTCCAGCAACATTATCTTTGTATCTGAACTCTATTTGAAAAAATTAGGTAAGAGTCTAGTTAACATGACCCTCCATCATACCCTGCCTCTAGCATTTGCTGCGTGTTAGCAATAAAGTAAAAGTTGCTTACTCATTATGGACAGAACTTTGGAGAGATCTGTTATATTATTTGCTTTTTTCCCAAGGAGAATTCAGATATATTTGTGAGATCTGATTAGATCAAAGACTGAATGATGTGCATCTCATTTAAAAGTGGATGTAAATTCTATCTTTTATTTGAAGTCCAAAGGAGATAGGGGTGAGAAAGGAAATTACTGTTTCTACAACCATCCCAAATTTCATTGTAGGCTTTACATTGCAGTAATAAATCGAGGTAACTAGATTTGCTTAGCTAAGATGGGTAGATTTATTGGTTCCATTTTAAAATTTTTATATGAATAAGTAAACTGCTACCAGTGCACATGCTGCATCTCTTCTAATGTTTTACTGCCATCTGCTCCCCTACATTCTGACATCATTAAACTGAAACAGTCCACTTGCCGTAAAGGCCTGACTGTAGCTTTTCCATTGTGAAAACTGGTGTAAAACATCTAAATATGCTCTGTCTCTTTACAGAACAAGTAGATTTTTGTTTCAAGCCATGACTCTCAGCTAGGAAAAAATAAAAGTAACTACTGTTAACTGCCTTCTTTCTTTTCTTCTAAATATCCTCTTATTGGAATTTATTTCCATGTCAGAAGCTTTCCAGTGCTGATGCAAGTGTGCAGTTGTGAAAGCTCTTCTTTCTCCCCATTTTCCTTTCATCCTGAGATTAAAATACTAAACCTTTTATAAGGGAAGATATCTGGACTTATTCATATATGCTTTCATAAAGAATTATTATTTATTAAAAGATATGGTTTAAAATAGGGGTTGACAAACTGTGACCCTTGGTCACATCTGGCCCACCACCTGTTTCGGGGAATAAAGTTATATTGGAGTTCAGCCATACTCATTTTTTTGCATGTTGACTGGCTCCTCTCATGCTGCAATGATGAGTTGAGTAGCTGCAACATAAACCATATGACCTACAAAACCTAAAGTATTTACTCTCTGGCCATTTATAGAAAAAAACTGCTAACCCTAAATTTGTACCATAGGATAAGAAAAATTATGCTTGATAATTCTGTACAGTAGATACAAACTTTATTGGGGGTTGTGAACACCCTTAATAGCTAAGGCACTCTGCTGCCTATTTGCTTGTAAACATCACCTGTAAAAGAAGATACAGTCTTTTGGGGCAGGTATCTTATTCTTGGTTTTATCTTTCATACCAGAAGAGTACCTAGAAGTACCTACATCTGAAACAGTAGTAAGTAGTTGTTGACTGAGTGGATACTTTACTTTTTTAACTGTGTAAGATCTTATTTCAGACTGTAATAATAATTGCCATTTATGAAGCATTTCTCACACATTCGAGGAACTGTACGTGAGCACTTTACTTACACTGCCTCATTTAGCCCTCTCACAGATTGAGGTAGCTGTTATTGCTATTGTTCTACAGATGAGGAAAACTAAGACTCAGGAAGATGACATTTTTAAGTTCACACAGCTAGAAATTAGCAGAACTAGAAATGCAAGTATATGTTAACACTAGTCATTATGCTAGATATACTGCTACCTCCGTAAAATAGCTGAGCAGTGTTTTCTGCTTTTAAAAGATGTGAAAGTCTAATGTAACTTTGGATAATGATGATAAAGTTTTGTTTATGTCAGAGATCTAATGACTAATTGAGAGTGCTATCCTAGAGAATGAGTAGTAGAAATGTAAGGAGTGTCCCAGGTATAAATTTCTTTCCCTTTCTGCTTCAGTGTTTTTACTTAACATTAAAACAGTTCTTTTTATCTGAGCAACTCAAACCTGAAGTACCTTTCTCCTTTATTTCTGAGAATAGGCTGCTTTCTCACTTACATAAAAAGATGAAAATTGGTGGGAAAATGGTAAAAGCCACATCCATTTGAGTTTCATATGTCAGAGCTCTAGATATAATGTGAATATAAATAATTTTAATGTTATTATGTCCTTACAGTTTTCTCATCCAAATACAAGCAAACTTCTACAAGCTTAATATTTTAAATAAATTCTTAGCCTAGAGTCTGTGCACGTTCACCAGTGATCCTGTTCCTGAGGTCCTTAATCATGCCAAAGATTTGTTTTTGCTTTTTAAAGTATTTTATCTGAGTTT